ATTTCAGAAGAATTTTAGGTTCAGAAAGATTGTTTTGTTTTTATTTAAGTTTTATGTTTAAATTTTAAGGAAGTATCAAATTTAACTTGCAAAATACACTGCAAATTGATTATTTTATTTATTTATTTTTTTTTTTTGCACCAATCGAGGGTTAGAGATAAGGAATTCAATATCTACTGTACCGCATACATTAAAAATAATAATAAAATGACAAATGTCAGGAATCTTGATCATTTCATGTTTCTTGTAAAATGTGTAATATAGAAGAAATTGGATCGCAAATAGAAATGTTTAATGAAAGATCTAACTTTATTTACGAGAATTCAATAGTAAAAATACAAGATTACTAAAAATAATTATTCATCGTTTAACTTTTAACAGTTAGATGTGTTTTTTTCATACATTGATATAAACTTTGTGAAATATAGAAATTTCGAAATGCATTAGATATGCTTCTTGTTTATTTTATAAAAAATTTTACATTTAAAAACGTAAAAATATTCTGGGGTCCTCTATTTCACATGACCTGGTTTATATAAATACGTGAATAAATCGTGAATAAATCGTGAATAAAGCGTAATGAATACGTCATTTGATTTTACACCTTGAACCTTTTAGGTAAAAAAAGAGCGTTCTAGACTTTGCCAATAAAATATCATGCATTGTCTTAAGAAAAGTAAGTTTAGGCATCTAGTTATCTAGTTGGACACCGATCAAAAGTAAATTTAATTAGGAAATGCAACGTATAAAATCTTACACACAATTTATTTTTTTGTATAAAATATAAAAAAAAATGACAATGTAACAATGTTTATTTTGAATAAATCCAAAAGGGGGTTTCTTGTTATTTTGTATTTATTATTATTTATTATTTTTATTATTTATTATAATTATTTTCATACTTTCTTTTTACTTTATTTTAAATTTAGTTTTAATAATCATGTATAGAAAATAATGCAAATAATATAAATAATATTTATTGTGCAGAATAGAACAAAAAATGGTCAAATTAATTAATAAAGAAGTATATATTAATTATATTAATTTGATTTATCTTGCTTTTTAATTTATCGACAAAATACAGAAGATATAGTACATACCATGCCACGTCTTAAATAAATGCATATAAAATATTATTATCACCACGTTTTTTTACTTATTCGAATAAATGTTATTATATATGTACAAATAAAAAACATGTTTATTTTGTTTCTAATCTTAATAAAAAAGAAATAAATGATTTACTTCTTTGTCGAAAGGTACTTCCAATATTTTATTATTATTACTTATTATTATTATTATTATTATTATGAATCCTTGTTTAGATGCATTATTATTCATAAAGTTCATTATGAAGTTCTTTGATGAAATAAATATCTTGGCAAATGAAAATTTCTACCGTGCATTGTTAAAATGCAAAATGTCTATTTAAACACCAAATATACAAACACACGGATATTGCAGAGAATATTGCAGCGAATATTGCAGTTAATATTGCAACGAATATTGTAGAGAACAAAAATAAGGATGCAGTATGACGAACGAACGAATGAAATGAATTGAAACAAGAAGGAAAATAATAAAAGAAACTGCAATAAAAAAATAAATAAATATATAACAGGAAATTTAATTTAGAAGTATTTAATGAAAGTAAATTATATATGAATGTTGTATTAATGCATATTAATGTATGAGAATGTATTCTTTTAGCGTGTTACTACTAGTTAACAATGGATTATATTAGTTACACGAATTACTTTCGTTACATTTTTGTGAATTCGTGAAACACTCTTGTTAAAATCTTTAAGAAAAAATAATCATATTTCATTGTTGTAGTTGTTGTAATTGTTGTTGTTGTAATTGTTGTTGTTGTAATTGTTGTTGTTGTTGTTGTTGCCGTTGTTTTTGTTTGAGAATTGAATTTAATTGTTATAATTATTACTAGAATTATTTTTTAAATAATATGAATGTATAGAGAACCAATAATAATCAATAACATGTTAATGTCTCCTATCCTACATTCTAGTGTTAAATTAGAAAAAGATTTTGTACTAAATGCAAATGTATCAAAGTCGCATAAAATGACATTACACACTTGTTTCTAACCATCACTATAAAATAAATATAATGAATATAATGAATAAAATGAATTAAGTTAATAAAAGGACAAATGGTTAAATTATCACAATGAGATAATAATAACATTTCAGAAGAATTTTCATCAGAATATGTTTGCAATAAAGACGAAGAATTTTGATTTTGATTTTGATTTTGTATTTCCTTTCCATCATCATCATTATTATTGTTGTTGTTAATATCGTCATTAATGTCGATTATTTTTTGTGTCTCTTCTTCATCTTCATCTCTATTAAGATTATTCGTATTTTGTTCTGAATAATATTCTTTACCTTTATTCTTTTTTCTATTGATAACATTCGCTGCTTGCGATACTTCCATATCTTCAGTATTTGCTCCTTCACTTATTATTTTTTCTAATTGTTCTTTGTCCTTTTCTATTTCTTGATATTCATCCACATCTGTAGGTAATATTATAGATTTAGCTGCTTTTAAAGCTAAATTTGGCGCTAAAGCTATTGCTACAGTTAACATCACCGTTACCCAAAATTCAGATTTTATACCAACTTTTTGAAATACTCCTCGTACATCATATGCTGCTGATTTAGAAACAACTGGATATATAAATGAATAAATTGTTTGCCATAAAAACCATCCAAAAAGTGTTAGCAATGATGTCACATGAGTTATTATTGTCCAATTATGACATTCTAAGTAAGCTATTTTAATGGTTACTATAATTACTACACAAGTATATGATACTAATCCAAGTTCATACAATTGAGGTGAACCTACAGCACGTAATTCATATGAGAGAAACATTCCATGTAATAAAACTGTTGTCGATACAATTACAAATGCATGAAATATTCCTGCACACATCCATGAGAAAAATAATTTAAGATTAAATGCTCCGTTACGTTGTCCTAATTGATATAATTCTGGTACACCTATTAATGTTTTTCTCTTTAAATCCTTTTCAAACATACCAATTACTATTACTGGTAAAGAAGAAAATAATGTATTATAAAATGAAAGTGTCCATGATTCGTATAAACTTGTTCCTGAGAATCCTGTAAAAAGTTGAAAAATTCCTTGCGTTAAATAAAAGCACATACATTTATAAAATGTTCCTAATACAAATTTCGATACTCTAACATATGACCATCGACCGTGAACAAATAATAAACTAGTTAGAAATCGAAATTGTGCTATTGAATAATCACTTGATCTAGCTGCTTGTAATCCTTCTCTTCCTGTTATTCCTATACCAACATGTGCTTCTTGAATCATCGCTATATCATTCGCACCATCACCGATTGCTAATGTTACCGTTTGTTTTAATTTTTCTCGAATATTCCTTACTACAAGAGCTTTTTGTGCTGGACTTACACGACAACAAACAACTGCTTCACATAATATTCCTAATGATACAAATGTTTTCATTAATTCCGTATCCTTTTCAATTGTCATTAAAGTTGCTCCATCCACAACTGCCACCGCATGTTTAGCTATACCATTATCAACATCTTTTAGATATCTTTTTAACATAGAATTAAGATCTTGAACATTACAATCTATAATAATTACAGTTGAAAAATTCTTTATTAATGAACAAGAGTATCCAATATTAATTGCGGTTTCACGTTTATCTCCAGTCAACATCCAAATTCTTATTCCCGCTCTCCGTAATTTGTCAATAGTTTCAGGAACACCATCTTGTAATTTATCTTCAATCGCTGTAGCTCCTGTGATTTCTAAGTCACATTCAATAAGTTCTGCTACTTGTTCTATCTTTTTTTGTCGATCAATTAGAGCAGTTGAAGCATCTTGGAAAAGTTTATTCCAAGTATTATATTCAGCTTCACTTAAGTATCGATGAGCATAAAGTAAAGTTCTTAAACCTTCAGTAGCAAAATCTTGAATATGAAACATGGTTTGACTATATAACCAAGCCTCATTTCGAATAGGGAATAAATCAACTACAGAATATTCGGAATCTATTGTTCTTATACTTGAACTCCGTTCATGTGTATGATTATGTGTATTAACAGGTGATGGTATTTCATTGATTGAATGAGGCGTATGAGGCGTATGAGGCGTATGAGGTGTATGAGGTGTATGAGGAGATTGTTCACTAGATATGGAAATATTAAGATTCGAGGTGCTCACTCGAAGATTATATCGTTTTGATTTTGATTCGGAATCATCAAAAAGTTCTATTTTATCTATTTTATCATCCATTGTATCCATGTATTTTCCTTTTTTGTCACCCTTAAATACTTTCTTGTTTGACCTTTTTGGATTTCTCAATCTTTCGAGTACAATAGAATCAGCCCCTTTACAAAGTAAACAAATTCTTCCATTAGGGAGGCGATATACGATAGACATCCTTTTACGTTTACTAGAGAACTCAAGCACATTCAAAATCTTATAAGTTTCATATTTTGAATTATCTAGATTAGGTGCAATTAATCCTTCTGGGCCATCATTATTAATTCGAAGTGACACCGTGGACATGTTTTTATCAGTTACCACATAACCTAATTCTTTTGCGGCTGTCACGAGAGCAAATTCATCAGGGGAAGCAGCTTGATAAAATATATTTTGACTTTCTTTGTCAATTTCTGGTACACAAGTATGACATAAAGCAATTGCAAGCAAGAAAAATCGCGCACATTCTCCAAATTGAGTATTAGATTGATGTTGTATTATCGTAAGTAGATCAAGGGTTGAACGCATTTGAGTACTTTTACCTTTAAACACAGACTTTGTAGAAGATTTTGATGAATCTCTTCTATATAATGGCGATGGACCAGTAGTAGTAGGTGCAATCATTGAGAAATTTCCAATACTATGATTTAGAGGTGCTATTTGAATATCATCTGAGTTCTCCAAATCTTCATGTGAATGCGAACGATTATGCCGTCTACGTGAAAATCCATGATTTGATCGTGATGATCGCTTGTTTTGTTTTAATGCTGCCAATAATTCTTCCTCTTCAATTCTACGCAAATCTAAATCGTGTATGAATGCCCTACCTCCTATACTAATTTTTCTAAAAAGCATTATATTATCCGTCAAAGTACCGGTTTTATCCGAAAATAAATATTTAACTTGACCCAATTCTTCATTAATTGTAGATGTACGAGCTTCAGCCGGAGTATCAGTTTCACTATGATACATTTCCAAATCATTATTAATAAAATACGCTTGAGCAAGTTTAACTAATTCCATTGTAACGTAAAGAGATATTGGGATCATTGTGTTAAATAGAATGATGAAGGAAAATAGTACAACGTAAAGTGGTGATTTTATTCCTAGAAAATACCATGCATCCGTTACCATATCCTCATCCCAAATTGCCGCAAAGATAGTGCACAAAGCAGATAAAAGTAATACAAAGGTAAAAATAATTATCACTACCCGATTCATCAATCGTTGTATCGTGGGAGCTTTTGTTCTAATATTTTTTGAAGCATTCATCCGGAGCTTTGTTTGTTCACCTGTAAATATGACCAATCCATAAATTTCGGGGGTATTACGTAGAATAGTACCACGTAATAAGATTTGGTCGTTTGATAGACTAACCAATTTTCCATCGGGAAACTTTATTGATCCATCAAAATTATATAAATCTTGATTTGGATTTTCTGTTGTGACAGTAACTACATTAATTAATATAATTAATTAAATTATAAGTTCATTCATTTATAAATTCATTTATTTATTTATTTATTTATTTATTTATTTATTATTTATTTATTTATTTATTTATTTTTTATTTTGAATTAATAAAAAGAAAATAAAATAAATATAAGAAAATATTATTAACAATAATATTTTAAATTATAATACCTTCAAAATTTGCAAGAGTCTCTTCTTTGTTTACTAAATTATTAGTCTCTTTTAATGCTTGACGTTGTTTTAAATTAGTTTCACCATCTAATGCAGCAGTCTCTACATAACAAGATCCTTGTTCACCTTTTGAATGAAGCAATAATAAATCAGCGGGTACCCATTCTTGTGCTTTAACCAATACGAAGTCCCCAACTTGTAAATTTTTCCATTTTTCCTTATTCCATACGCCAATTCTTTTGGAAGTACCATTTGCATCATTTGATCGATAAACTCTTAATACTGAACATTCATTATTATTTTCCACTTGATCTTGTCTATGTCTACGTAAATCATCAAATCCTTCATGTGCCATGGCAATACCAATAAATACACTTAATGGAATGATTGTAGTAAATTGTCCAGTGGGAGAAAATCCGGGAATTGCTTGTAAAGCTGCAACAAAAATAAAATAAATATTGGCAACTTTTGAAAATTGATACCAAAGTTGTTTAGGAAGAAAATTCCAAAAGGTGTAACGGGAAGTTGTTATAAAATTTTTTATAAAAGGAGCATTTGTTTGAGGATCTATTAGAGGACTTTTTCTCTCTGGAATTACAGGAATAAATCGACCGGGTTTTTCTTCTTTAGAACCTGTAATTAAAGTACTTAAACATTTGGCAGCATGACGTATACTTTCCCTTCTCCTAGATAATGATTCATTAACACGATAACTCAAAGAAGTATTTCGAATATGAGAATGAGAAACTAATTCAGGAATACGTCCCGAGGGACCACCCGATGTATCGTTGTAATGTAAAGCATCATTTGAATCACTATCTAATAAATCAGATGGAGTTGAAGTGCTTTGTGGATTAAAATTGGTTGATGGTTCTTCAAATGGTAAAGTAGTAAATGTTGCAACAGTCGGAGATTCTGCAGAATGTTCATTCGATGACATAATGTCTATTTTATATATATTTTATTTTCTAAATTACAAATAATAATATATATTATTATACAAATTGTGTAAACGATAAAGCATGCTTATTTTAGTACACTTTTATTTAAATTTTATATAAATATAAAAAGCAAGGGAAAAAAATTCAGGAAGAGAAAAAAATGCTTTGAAATGTAATTAATGTAATTTCTAATTTTATAAAAAAAATTTATTGGCTAAATTAAAAATTTTAACGTGACCATCAGAATGCAATGCAATATTATTTCAATATTATTTGTGCTACTTGATGATCTCATAAAATAACAGTGTACTAAAAATTATTCCATTAATGGAAGTTTTAGCTTTTTTAAAGAAAATATATTTTTTATTTTTGAAAAAAAATTACCAATTAATTTATTTTTTTTTTTTATAATAAATAAAAATTAATAAATATTAATAGTAAAATGCATATATAAATATTTAAATATAAAAAATTATAAAATAATAATAATAATAATAATAATTGTACACATATACATATTTAAATATTTTGAAGGTTTTGAAATTATTTTCATGAATGGAAAAAAAAAATGTAAGTACTACTATATATATAATATATAAAATAAATAATTTAAATTATAAATAATTAAATTAATTAATAAATTAAATTAAAAAGATGCGAATGATATAAAAATGAATATAGAATGGATATGAAATGATATGAAATGATATAAAATGATATAATAATGGAGAATGAATTTTTTTTTTTTTAATTAAAAACACATGAATCGTCTCTTCTTATTAATAAGTTGTTCCATTTGGTTCTCTAGCACTAATCTGGCTTTTTCTGCTTTCATTTTTGCTTTTCTTTCCTCTTCTAAAACACTTTCCATAATCTTCTGCTCTTCTTCAACCGTTGTTCTTGTATTTTTAATTTGTGTTTGTGTTTCATTCAATTGAGATTTTAAATATTTAATTTCTTCAATGAAATCTTTTTTCTCTTTCTGTAATATTGTTAATTGTTCTTTTGCAATTGATAAATTCATTTCACTATAATTTATACTTGCTTCCAATGCTTCGACTTGTTGTTTACTTTCTGCATTTTCACTTTCAATCGTTGGTATTTTTGTTTGAAGATTTTGAATTTCTACTGAAAATTCTTTCGTTGTTCGTGATGTTGGTGAGTTCCCTCTTAGTGGTGAGATATTCATTGGTAACCGTGGTAATGGTGATGATGGTGGTGGTGTAGAAGGTTGTGAAATAATTTTAACACCTTGACTCATAATTTTCGAAGGTTTTTTCTTGTTATTTGTATCTGATAAATTGGATGATATTGAACTACGATCTGATTCATCATTACATTGTAATTCCAGCTGTGAAAGTTTCTCTTTAAGATTGTTAATAACATGATGTTGTTCGGTTATGATGTCATCGTTTTGTGCTACAATAGATCGTATTGAATTACTAGAATCTCGTTTTGTGTTTGGTGATTTATATCTTTCCAATTGATCATTAAATTCTAATAATCGTGTAATTTCTTGTTCCACATTTTTAGCTTTATCACTATTATTTATTTTAAAGTCTGAAATGTCTTTTCTCAGAGTTTCAACTAAATTATTTAATCTGGAAATTTGTATATTTGTTTGATTTTCATCTGAACCGGTCATTCGCAATCGCAACTGTTCTCTTAGAAATGCAATTCTTTTATCTAGAATTATTCGTTCTTCTGTGATAACCGTGTTTATCCCATACGAATGTTCTTTCTCATATTCAAGTTCTTTGATTTGAATCTTCAAACTTTTGATCAATGATTTTCTATTCTCTTCATGATAAATTATATGTTTTTCTAATTTTTCTACTTTTTCTGAAAGCGTGCAAGTTCTTTTTTCAGATTCCACGATTTTTGAATTTAAATTTTCGTTTGTCTGTTGCAACTCTTTATTCGTTATTAAAAGTTTATTGATTTCAGGATCTGTTGACTCTCCTGCTAATATTTCAAGATCTAATTTTTTGGATTCTTCTAATGCAATTTCTAACTCATTTATGCGACGTTTCTGTTTTTTAGATAATTTATCTACTTCCTCAAATTTGGACACTTCAACTGCAAATTCATCCGCCAATGTTTCAATATCTTTCTGAAGTTGATCTAATTCTTCTTCAAGATCCTCACGGTGCTCAATTTGTACCATTTTATCTGTTTCCAAATAATGTGTAATCTTTTCCAATTCTGTAACGCGAGTTTTTTGCGATTTGATCTCTGAATATGTCTGTTTAATTTGATTTATTAATTCTTGTACAGCAGAATCTTCAATGTTTTGATAACAATCAAGAACAGAATTATGCTTTAAGTCATCCTTTTCATTTTGCATTTGCGCATATTCTTCTTTCAGGATGTAAATTTCATCGTTAATTTCTTTAAGTTTAGAATGTTCAACATCACGACGTTGCTTTGCATCTCGAAGCTTGGATTTTATTTCCTTGACTTGTTTTCTATATTCTATTGTGGGTGATTTAACTTTTTTAAGTTCTTCCTTTGTGATCTTTAATTCGTCGGCAGAAATTTCATTTTGTTGAGACTTTGAATTGACTTCTATTAATTTGGCTTCTAAATGTCTTATACGTCCGGCAAATGAATCAGAATTCTGTTTAAGCTCTGATTCGATCAGTCGTATGATATCATCCAATTCTAAAATATGAGCATTTTGATTTGTAATCTCTTGTTCATTTGATATTATAAGTTTTGTCAGTTCTTTTAAATTATCTTCCAATATGCAAAGTAATCCAACACGACTTTCATCTGCAGATTTTGCTAATTTAAGATGAGATTTCATGACCTCAAATATTTTTTCAAATTTATTAATGTTTATGTTATTGCTCTTTGAGGAAGCATTGACATTTAATAACCTTGTCTTGAAACTATTTAACGTAGAATCTAATTTTTTAATTGCATCTTTTTGATTCTTTTCTTTTTTTTCAAGTTCATTCGTTAAATTTGCGATACGTTTTACATGTTGTACACTTTCATCTTCGACCTTTCCCATTTCAGATTCACATTCTACTAACATTTCATTTTGTTTTACAATTTCAAGTTTTGCTTTGACTAATTCAGATCGAGCTGTTTCAACTTTTTTGTCACTTGTTCCATTATTCTTACACTTCTCAAGTTCATTTTCCAAAGTCTTGATACATTTTAATGTATTATCATATTCTTTCTGGGCATCATTCAAGGATTCATCAATTTTATCTTTTTCCGTTGATGAGTTTGTGTTATATTTTGCTGATGCTAATTCCCGTCGTAAACTTCCCACTTCCTCTTCTAGAGAATTACATAGATCCTGTTGGAGATTAAAACCACCTTTGATTGTTGAAAGTTCTTTAACAGCAATTTTCTTAGATTCTTCAACTTTATGAATTTGTGATTGTAATTGCTCAATTGTTGATTTATGTTCAAAATCTAATTCTTTTAAAAATTCTAATTCTTCCTTTATTGTTTCAGTGATCTTTGCTTCCTTTTGGACTGTCGCATATTTATTCTCTAAATGTTGTAATGTTTTCTGTAATTTGGAATCTGAAATTTTTAAATCATTTATTAGTGATTTTAAAGAATTTATGTCAAGATTCTCGTCATTGACTAATTCTAGTCTGATCTGAAGATAATCCAATTGTTTATTTTGTTCGCGTTCATTTTCGTGCAATTTTTCTATTTCTTCATTCAATTTTTCAACCTGTTTAACCTTTTGTGAATTTTTAGTTTCAAAATACAATTTATTTTCAATTAATTGAATTGTTTGCAATTTTTCTGATTCCTTAGCTTTCAAGTTATTAATCTCTTGCTTAATGGCCGCTATTTGGGTTTTGTCTTCTGCATCTTTTAATTTTTTCTCGAGATTTTGAATAGTACTTTTTTGAGTATCTTGAGA